TGAACGCGGCTCCGGCTCCCGCTGCTCTTCGGCAGGTATGTACGCCCCTCTGGGGGCTTGCTCTCGGGGTCTGGGGTCTGTGGGCTCTCTTCTCTCTCCCTCGAGAGCCTGTGGGGGCACCTCGCTGCCACACCAAGACTTTAAGCACCTTCATTGTAAGGCCAGGTACAACAATGAACCTAGATAAGAAGATGAACCTCGCCTTTTTCTAAACTGGCTAATGGGCAACTATTACAAACATTCAAACTATTACATTCAATATGACATCAAGTAGTCTTCCTTAGAGGCTGTTCCAAGCTTCCATTATTTGTACGCCTCTTTCTTTTTTTGTAGGAGGGCTGCAACTTCCCTGCTTAGGCAAGAGGATTTTTTGAGCCTTCTGCTACTTTTTCTCCATATGAGAATGGATTTTCTTTGAGCCTTAAGGATTGTGTCCTTAAGGAACTACCATTCTTCTTGTGCTTGCTTTACTTGTGGTCCTTGGTTTCTCAGGGCATTCTCTACTAGTGACCTGAGCTTATTAAAATTTGCATTTTTGAAGTCTAAGACTTTGAGCTTGGTATCTGTTTTGTCAGCCTTGTGACGGACCATGAACATAATGATTTCATGGTCACTATCACCTAGACTGCCCTCTATGTTTAAGGTGGTCACCACCAGGTCATCCCCTTTGGCCAGGACCAGGTCAAGAAGTATATTGCCTCTAGTTGGCCTGTGCACCTCCTGAGTCAAAAAAGGCTCTTCGGTGCTGGTCAGGAAGGATTGTGATTGATCCGAGATGGCTGAGCATTCCTTCCACGAGATGTCTGGGTAGTTGAAGTCACCCATGACAACCATGTCCCATGCACGTGCGGCCTCCATTAGTTCCTGGGCGAATGCTAGATCAAGTTCCTCCCCTTGGTTAGGTGGCCTGTAGTATACACCTATGGTCAGGTCTCTTTCACCATGCCTCCCCCAGAGCTTGACCCAGAGGGCTTCAAGCTGTTCTTCTTTGGGGCTGACATCGGCCTGTAGGGAGGTGTACTGCTCCTTCACATAGAGGGCAACACCCCTACCTCTCTTCCCTACCTGATCCCTTCTGTGAAGAACATATCCCTTTATGGCTATGCACCAGTTGTGAGAGGAGTCCCACCAGGTCTCTGTGATCCCTACTAGATCATAGTGCCCAGTGGAAAGCAGGAGGACTAGTTCCCCATGCTTCTGGCATTGATGTCCTTCCACCTAAGTCCTTCTACTGAGGTCACTGGCCTCCTGTTGCGTTGAAGGGGAGCCATTTTCTCAGCTTCTGTAGGAGTGGCTTGCTTGGTTTCATTGTCAATGGAGCTTTCCTGTATATTGATCCCTGTGTAGGCTTCAGTTAGCGTTTCCCCATCCCCATAAGGGGCTACAAATGTAGAAATGTTGGACAGCTAGTAAAATAATACTCCCACTAGGAAACAAGAGTTTTCTTGTCATAAGAATTTGTAAATTTATTGTGCTCATTACTCAGCTTCTTTTCCAGAAACTTAATTTAAACAAATCACAGTAGGAAATAACTACACTCAGTTCTCTTTAATTTCTGGTTTTCTAAAGAAGCAACACTGGGGAAGTAGAATCAATGGACTGGGTCTTCTATAAGGGTGCAGTGTCTTAAAGAGGCCTGTACACATCATCTGATTATGATTATGATGGATGATTAGTATGATTACTCAGTGTTGTGTAGTCCAGAGCACTGATTCTCAACTGGGTACCATGGGGTGCCACAAGATCTTCTGAAAGGTGCCTTGAGGTGTAAGGAGATATGCAGGTATAAGGGGATAAGTGCACATTCAAACTCAACCCTATCTGGCCCCTCTGCAAGGAGGTAAGAACTTGTTGCAAGGAGGTGCTGATCAATTCACAAAAGTTATGGGGAAATGCCTGCAATCAAATGAGAGGTGCCTTCGGAGTCTAAAAATGTTGAGAACCACTGGTCTAGAGTTTATGGATGTTACCTGCCATATTAGTAAAGATGTCCTCACAGGACTGCTGGTGCAGAGAAGAATTGTTTTGTAGACCCCATTTAAAAGGGAAGAGGTGAAGGAGGAACCGTATGCATGGTATTTCCTGTGGCAAGTGTCCTGTGGACAGTCCTCTGGTTAAAAGCCTGCAATCACTGTACAAGTGCATGGTGTCAGTAATCTCATTCCTGTATACCTTATGTCTACTTCCCTGCAGGAGATAAGGATATAAAGGATGTGCAACAGAAATGACTCACTGGGTCACCCAGTACTGTCAATGATCAATTCATACCAGAAAAAGATCTAGCTAATGTGCTAATAGTCATGGTGCCAAGAGGCCCTTTAAATGACATGTGGAATATTAGTTAAATGCATTGATGGTCTCCTTGGACATGGAGTTTATTATCTCCTGTAGCCCAGTCACCAGATGGATATAGGCAGACACATGCACCAGCAGATACATTGCATTCTCTGAATAGAAGAGATGACCATAAGGTGCAAAGAATAATTAGGATATCAGTATAATCAATGATTGACTTACCTTATGTGGCTATGTCTCCTTCTACTGGCTGGTACCAATGAAAAGCACACCTTGCTGCTTCCTGTCAACCAGCATCAAGTCCTTCAGCTTTAGTGACAGGGGCTTGAGCTTAACATCCTAGGTTTGGTGGCCATGATCCCTGTTGGTTTCATTACACAAACCTGAGGGACATGTGTGAAATGGGTACATCCCATCAATGTGCAAATGTCCATTCTATAAGACATGTAGGATCAGATGTTTTAGAAAAAAATACAAGGGCTAATTGAGATTCTTTTTATCCCAGTATTCATTGACCCCTGCATCAGACCTATTCATTGTGTCTAACAGTGGAACCATTTCAACCACAAGACAATTTGATTATGAGAAAGATCAGCATAGGTAAGAATTAACTTTGGTCACTTAGTTATTAGTAATTCATAGCTAACACAAATAGCTATTGCCTACAGTCTAAAGAGTGATTCTTGCTTTGCTTTTATTTAACAGTTACTTTTTAAATATAACCGCGACAGACAACTTAGGGCTGAAAACTACTGGAACTGTGATAGTCAACATAATTAACATCAATGATGAAGCACCGTATTTTACCATGTGAGTGAAACATCAATATAATGTAAAAAATATGGATGGTTTTCAGGTGTGCTATAGTATAACCATTACCTGATATGACATCTGGCTATTGCTAAAACAGTACTTGTGTTCTAAGTCTCCTGTTGAAAGTTTTCATTGTCATTTCTTTCTGCTATCCCTATACCCACTATTTATGTTAGATTTGGGACAAAATGTGTTGCTAGGCAGAGGACTGAAATAAAAGCAATGGCCTATTTGACATCTATTTAAGTGGCATACAGACCTTTGTGCTGGCACAGACTGGGCATGTCTACATGAGATGATTTACTGCTCAGTAGACCAAATTACTAGGTAATAAGTGTCACTGTCTACACATACAGATGCTTACTGTGCAGTAATTTGGTCTAACTGTAAGTTAATTTGCTCCCTGTAAACACAAGTAGGAAATTAACTCCTGATTAGTTACTGCACAGTAATGCACATGCAGATGATGACTGGGAGCAAATTTGCCCCTGGTCAGCTCTACCACCAGAGGGCCACCTGCAGCTTAGCCCCAGGGCTGGGAGAGCTCTTTGCCTGCCCCAGCCCCAGGACCTTAAAAGCCTGCAGGGATGCCAGGGCCCTGGGTCATCTGAATCCAGCCTCTGGCCACTGCACATCTCCACAGAGGTCCCAGGCCAACTGCAGTAGCCTGTCCGCACCTTAGTGTTGATCCCTGGCACCGTGTCACTACATGGCTGCCTGTTCCATGCTGTGGTCCTGCACGGGGTGCTGCAGGCAGCTGCCAGGCCTGGCAGCACCCTGGACCACCTGCAGCCAGCCTCTGGCCACCAGGTCCCACTCCAGCTGTCCCCAGGCCACCCAGAGAGGCCTGCCCAGACTCTGCTACTGGTGCCTGGCACACCATCACCACATGCCTGCCTGTCCCATGCTGTGTCCCTGCACAAGACACTGCATGTGCCTGCCCAGGCCCACCAGCACTGGGATTGCTGCATGGGGGCCCAGTGATCCATTGAGGAAGCCACAGTGGCATCCTCCCCAATGCCACACACTGCCTCCTGGGGCCGCAAATGGTCCCAGTAGGAGACTGAGGACCTCGTTGTGCTGTGGGCAGGGGCTGAGGTGCTTAGCCAGTTTGTGCAGAGTGGCCCCTACAACATGTACAACTTCTAGTGCAAGTGAGGGCAGGCCAAAAGTTGCTCTAATTTATGCCAATTTGTTGTACCTTCCTTCTGACATTAGAACCATGGGGATTTGCCAGAGTATAGC